AAGGGTGCCCTTGTTCTAACCTCTCTACTGGAGGACCTGGTGGAGGGAAAGCCCACCATTTTAACCCAAGCCCTTGCGCTTGCAGTGCATCAAATATGCACACCGCCATGTTGAATGCAGGAGCCAGGCCAGAACCAAGCCGAATCCGAAACAGCGCCAGGCTAACAGTTGAGTGGCCAACTCTTTGGCAATGTGTGATCGTTGAGGGTGAGCTACCAGCAGTCCTCATGCCAACATGTGATTCCGAACTTGTGCAAGGGTTGTATTTTGTGCCTTGCTTGTTGCTTATCCCCCCGCCCCACCTGCTGTTGGGCCTTGGGGCTGATGCTTGAGGCGCTGCGGCCGGTGCTGAATCGGATTTTGGGGAAGCAGGCGACGCTGGGCTCTGACTGGGCGAATGGATGGCCATCGAACAAGCAGCTTCCGTCAGCATTGTGTTTGCCGTCTACCCAACTGTTGTATGTTCCAGCTGGACCAAAGTTGCCAGGTGGCCGTTCTTTCTCAAGTCAACATATCACGTTGAAGCCCACCTGTTTGCGGACAGGTATGGTGGAAAGTGTCGGGAAGCAGCTGTTCTGTAACTGGATCGGGTGCTCTGAAAACACAGCGTTTCCCCATAACCTTGTCGCTTCATGTTTGTTATAGTGTGTGGCTGTACTCTTTTGTTTTTGCCCTGCAAACATGAGGAGACCTGGTTGTGTCCGCATTGACAGTGAGGATGCCTAAGTGCCCATTTCGCTCACTCCGAGGGTGGGGGCTACCTATGCACTTTGCCCATGCGCAATGGACTATGATCATCTATGCCCTGTCTAGCCGGCGGCTGTGATCTAGACTGTCTTTGTGTGTTTGCTCATGTGTCTTCTTTAACAGCCTGTGAAGCATGGGTGGGTGCGGCTTGCATTGGCTTCGCTTGCCTGCATGAGTTGCTTTGGCTTGCAGCCAAGATGTTGCGACCGCATCCTGTGGATCACCACTTGTAACAAGGAAAGGATCGGCTGCCTGTTTGTGCAACCAGATTTCAACTATGTCACTCAGCCTGACTTGCTCGTCACCTTACTTTCTGACAGTCGGCTTGTCGTGTTGCTTTTGGCAGCAGTCGCTGAAGCACACGTTGTTTATGTAGAAAGAAAGTGTTCACCAATGTGATGCACGGCAACTGAAGCTGCCTGATGGCAGATTGAGTGAGCCTTTCTTTTTGGGCATATTTCTTGGCGTCCTCTATCCTGCAAGAGGAAGCTGGGCATGCGCTGTTTGCCGAGCATGTTCGCACCAAATTGGGAAAACTGGTTCCTTGCACACCTGTGTGATTGGTCAAATGCCAGAGCCCCAAAATGCCGTGGGTTGCAGTTGTCCCATAGTCTCCCTTTGCAACAACCTCCAAACGGGTACTCATTGGTTTGCATCACCCTCGGTGCCATCCAAGGAGTCGTGAAGGCGAAGAGAGGACACTGGGAGTCACTTGTTACCTCCAGAATCCAATTGAAAGTGATAAATCAGTCATGGGGTCTTTGGTATCATTGAGAAAAAAGGTTATTAGTTTCCACAATCCTCAAGACTGCAGACTCCTTGCTGGATTGGTGGGTTGTGAACGGTCGTTGCTCCTTTTGACACATGGCGTCTCCTTTTCACTCCCCTACCGTCGTCCTAAGACGGCGGAGGTCTTGCCTTTGCGAATCATTTCTGCAGGGATCAAGAAGATGATGTTTAGCTTTGGGAAGACCAAAGGGAAACGAAATAAAAATGAAATAAAATAAAGCCAAAAGAAGCCCCCATATTCAGAATGCTCGCACATGCTGAACGGCCTTCGGGGACCCCAGGCATTCGGTGGATGAAAGTTGTGTGCAGGATTCTGGCATTGGAAGAAGGCTCCAGGCTCCGTCGCAAACAGCGGCGGGATGACACTTCGAAGCAGCAGCCTGGCATGCGATCGGGGGTGAAATGTCATTCATTCAATGGCCTGTGGCTGAAAGCCGAGGTTTAAACATTTGCGGGCAATGCGAATCGCCGTGTCGAAAAGTCATGAGATTCAAAGCTCATTTGCGGGACCTCGATATTCCGGAGGATCTTTGGTGGGCCCGTTTACTGTTTAGTTTTGCACGTGTATTGAGCATGAGCTGGTTCCCCTTTGCAACCTGTGTCTAGCTGAGTGAGAATGAGCAGCTCAATTCAAAGGCCAAAGCAATGCATAGGTCCCCAGCTGGGTCACCCTTTGTTGCATGCTGTGCACTACAAACAGCTACTGTACATTGAAGGATAGTTTGAGCATCCAGATGCGTATGGTCATTACCACATATCACCACCAGATCGAGCTCAGGATGGAATTCTGGGTGCTCGCGGTAGTGACTATTGGCTTGGTTCGCGCGTTGACTAGCAGATTTTGTGCAGTGCCCGTGCGAACATTTTGCCGTGCGACTATACCAAGCCGAAACTGATTCTGAGACAATACCCTTTTTGGGGGAGGTTGTTTCAGAGGGGTTGTAAATTCCTCTTTCGACATCTGCTTGGCTATTGTGTCAAAACGGGAACAGGGGCACCTCTGTAGTGGTGGGTCTTCCTTTGGTTCCGCTGTACACCCAACCTGAAGAGACCCTCAAAAAGACCCACGTGCGCACACACACACACACACACACACACACACACGCACGCACGCACGCACGCACGCACGCGCGCGCACGCACCCACACACACACACACACACACCCACCCACCCACCCACCCACGCACGCACGCACGCACGCACGCACGCACGCACGCACGCACCCACCCACCCACCCACCCACCCACCCACCCACACACACACACACCCACGCACACGCACACCACACACACACACACACACACACACACACACACACACGCGCGCACACACACACACACACCCACGCACGCACGCACGCACGCACGCACGCACGCACGCACGCACGCACAGCCGAGGTACAAAGACTTGAGCTTCGGCGACTCCGATGAGGAGGCTGAGACCGCGCGTGACTCCTCAGGCTTCGGCTCACAGGACTGGGAGTTTGGTTGAGCTAGCCAGTGGCATCATGCGTAGGGGTCCTGTTCAGGTTGGCAAGCCAACAGGGATAGTTTGCCACATTACCGCGTAAAAGTCCCATTGTTCTGAAGAGGTCTCAAACAAGAAGGGGGGCTTGCGGAAGTCGTTGGTGCTTAAATGCATCCAATACAATTCAACTTGTTGCTGCGCCAACTTGAGGACTTGACAGCCTTGACATTGGTTGCTTTGGGTGTGTCTCAAAAATGAGGGGACAAAGCTGGCGTTCCTTTTGGTTTCAACCAAAAGGGTGCCCTCGAAAAGACATCCCCTGTTGGATCACCTGTTTGCAGAGGAGGACAAGCAGGACGTGTTCGAATGATTGCAAAGCCCCGGCGTTGGCGCCTGACTGCAAAGTGGGTCGCCATGTTTCCCGAATCCGACCTAACGATGTTCAAAGGCCACCAACCCGTTAGCCCTTCAAGATGGGTGACACCCGGTGCGTGTGACTTTCTGTTTTGCCGTAGGTGACATGTTTGGGCGGCTTGCCTCGTTTACGGACCCCGCGGTGCACTTAGGTCCTTCCCTTGCATGTTCTTGATGGGGAAGCATCGAAATATCCGTACCAAATATTAGACCCTTACAGGGAATCATACTCCCAATGGTGTGTAGCCTCAAAATGTGTGGATTCCATGTAGTTTCGCTTTGATCTCCTTTGAAACACCTTCAAACAGGCGTGTTTCCAAAGAAAGACACCCCAATTTGGCCATTCTTGCTCAAAGCCCAACTTTGAGTGACCTTCCAACCAAATTTTCCCCCAACCCTCCAAAGACGCCCCCCCCCCCCCCAGCTCCCCAGATCCGGTAGGAGCCTTGTGACCTGGTCCTGTTCCACGCCCCGGGCGTCAGTGCGCCGGTGGTGGCTCAAGCGGTGGCGGAACACCCGGACGGGGCCATGGATCTCGTTTGGTTCGACCACGAAGGCGTGTCGGGAGCAAACCAGGCCCCACAAAGCCTGGGCAGGGAAGACGGAGCACCCCAGGACACCATCGGGGCTACTCGTGCAACATTGTATTGATTGAGGTATATGAATATGATACGCAGGTGAAATGCATGTTCATATCTGGTCCAGCACACACACACACATGAACTACATTTGGAGCATACAGTTCATTCATCTCACCCTTCCAGAAACACTGGTATTTACAGTGTGCTTTGCATTGCATGTTTTGGATGCACAAATGCAAGGTCCTACTAGGCCGAGTTTCGGTTTGCAGCAAAGTGCTTCTCAGAAGCAAACAAACTGTAACGAACACCGTGTTATTGATGTGCTTAACCGCAAAGTGTAAAGCACCTCCTGGTTTGCCGGTTTTGACTACAACTAGCCACCAAATTCCTCAAGCCAAAACACATCACAAAATGAAAAGGACATTGTGCACAACAACCAATGGTTGCCATCCCTTCATTACTGAATTTGCTCTGCTGTATCTTTCCGTTTACTCTTGAATTATTGTTACCAAAGGCTAGGATGCCACAGCTCTTGCTGGATTTGTTTTGCTGCCTCTCCCCTCGCACATCAAAAACAAAACTGGAGGAAAACCAGAAAATAATAACAAAATCAAAAAGCTTTGATTTAAAAAGCAAAAAACAAAAAGAAGAAAATAAAAGACAATGGCTGGTCTGGCTTCAGAGTTTTGGTTTGTTGGTTTTCTCGCTTTAGGTTTGCTTTGGTGTTCCTCGAGTTGTGTTTTGCTTTTTGAGCTTTTGGAGTCAATAAACAAAAAACAGAGAGTGTTTGCGGTTTTTGATGAGTGAGGGGCATGAGAACACCAAAATATTTGTTTTGGACTCCAAAAGCTCAAAAAAACAAGAAAACTCGAAACCCAAAAAGCAAAAATCTGAAGCCAGACCAGCCATTCTGATGATTTTTGGGTTTTCGGGTTTCTCGAGGTGTTTTGGATGTTGTTATGTGTTCTTTGGTGTTCCTCAGTTTTGTTGGATGTGTTGTTGTTGCTATTTGGGGTATTGGTCAGCTTGTTTCAAGACGAAAGGCCTTTGTACACCAGCACAGCAGGGGCCTTGTAGCGAGCTTCATGACAAGCTTTGACAGGAGCTGCACAAGGAGCCCCATAAGTAGCTTTTCAAGTCCCAATCGCTTTTCAGGAGCTTTTCACTGGAGCTGAGAAGGAGCTTTATAATGAGGCTTAAGAGGCTTTACAAGCATTTTTACAAGGTACCAGGAACCTTTTCGGAGCCTCATAAATAGGCCTGAGAAAGAGCTTGAAGAAGAGTCGCGTAAGGAGCTCAAAGCTTCATGAGAAGTCGCAGAAGCAGCTTACCAAGTGAGATTCAAAGGGGGCTTTGCAAGCAGCTCTAAAGGGAATTATATGGCGTTCTGTTAGAGATGAGAATTTAAAGGTGGATTTCTTTCCACATGAGGTGACCAGTAGAATGTGCATAGCGCAATAGGGAAAGAATTTCACTAGACTTTCATCGTCAGCTAGAATTTGAGTATGACGTCCTTCCCATGATAGCACATAGCAAGGGGATAATTCAATACTGACTGGGCCTATTAGAACTGAAATTTGAACCCTTTTCTGCTAAGATATGAATCAATATTTAAATAGAATTGTGACACATTTGCAGATGAATGTCTACTTCAATCGACTTAACGTAGGAATTGCTTTAGAATTAGGACGTTGATCCAAGTTAACTGCTATGTAATTGACATATTGGTACTTGGTGGGTGCAGACACAATTGAGCAAATGCAGATGAGCAGATCTGCAGGTCATGCTTCAGAGCTGGTTGAATATCGCAAATGTAGTTCATTGGGGGGGGGCGTGAGTATACATGTATATATATATATATGTAGACTATGTACTTCCACTCACTATGTACGTCCACTCATACATGTCATATGCATGTTTTTATCTATATGTTCATTTGTTGTTATGTGTATTTGGAGTGCACGTTTGTACACTTATATCTAAGTGATATCCACATATACTTACTTTGCTTCGCAAGGCGGGCGCGAGAAATCTCTGGCCCAGTGAAACGATTGAACCAGTTGGCCCAGTCGAACCAATTGGCCCAGAGATTTTCGGCTTGAATTGGGCCTGTTTTTAGAGGCATGTATTTCTATCACATGCATGTGCATGAATGCCTTAGGCCAATGCGCCGTTTGGCACAAGCTGTTACATCCGGCAAACCACGCGAACCATGTTTGACCTGTCTTGAGATGGACTGTGCCGCCACTTTGCCAGTTTTCCATGAGCAAGGCTGTGGCTGCTTAGCTGCTACTGTTGGAAAAAACCGGGGGGGGGGGGGGGCATTTCTACAAAACCCAATGCTGCCACCCCCCGCGCCCTTGTGGGTCCCGGAGTCCTATATCCCTTCTGACGAGTGCCCGGACCGCACGCTCGCAGGCAAGAAGCAGCACGCCACTGCCTCGGCCAACAAGTTGGAACCTTATCGCCCCTCGAATGGATCTGCTGGGTTTCTCAGAACGCCGGGTTTTCCTCAAGGGAAAGCAAAACGAAACCTTCAGAAACATCCGGACGTTCCGGATTCCTTCCAATTCCTTTTTTGGCGTCCACCTCCGGCCAAGGTGCGATGTCGGTCATGGCAAGCCCAAAGGACACACTTTTTCCAATGGTTGTGCACAGGATGTTGCAAAGAAAGACTGCCATACGGCGTCCCTTCCATGGGACAGAGGCGTCCTGCCACAGGCCCGGTGCTGAGAATCCTCGCGAGCCCCGAGCTGGAGAACTTCCAGCGGAGCAGCAGCACCGAGACCTGTGCTCTTCGTCTCCGAAAAGCGGAGCAATAGACCACCACCTCGGTTGGTGGACATAAAACCCTAAGGGTCATGACCCCTCCAATGCAGACCCCCGGACCCTGCAATGGAGACCCCCGACCCCGCATGGGCCCTCCAAAAACAACCCATTTTGAGCCCCCAAAATCAGTCGGGACCCTTAGGGCCGCCTAAATGATGTCCAAAAGGGCCCCAATTAAAATTCACACCCTGTTTGTTGGTTGAATTAGTTTTTAGTTGGTTGTACCCTTTTAAGCTGGCTGCCCCCTATTGGGAAGCCGACAGAAAAGTTGTGGTCACTTCAGGACGGGATCTTTATTGTTTGACCGAAGCTCTTCTGTTAGTGCCACCATCGCCGTTCTATCATCCTACCTGAGGCACCCAACGTGCCCCTTTTTTTGAGAAAAAATGCTCGAAATACCGATTTCTGCTCGACCCCCCAAAAAACGCTCGCCCCCCGAAAAACGCTCGACCAAATCCCCTTCTTCCATCCAGAGGAAGGCGGGATTGTTACGTTTTTTAAATGTGCACTCGTTTGCGGATATTTGCGCTCGTTTTGCGGATATTTGCGCTCGTTGATTTCTGCTCGCTCCTTTTGAATATTCAGCGACCGATCATCTTGGAGGACCGACCAGCCCGGTTTTGGGAAAAACGCTCGAAGCAGGAAAAAGTGTACGTTTACCATATTTTGGTGACGACCCCTGGTTTTGCAATACGTTTGGGCTACGGGCGGAAATTTATGTAACGAAGGGTGCTCCAGGTAGTGTATGTATTGGTTATCCATGTGTACTGCTTTCGTGCCACATGTCCAGCGGCGGACTCCCGACTCCTTTTCGCGTGCAGCACTTAACGTCATTTACAGTCACACTGGCATTGCGTTAAATGAGTGCGGAGTGGTTCGAATTTGCGACAGCTGCCTAACAAAATAGTTATCGTTTCCATTGTCGGAGCTAAGATCTTTGATTCCCCAACAGTCAGGGTTTTGGCGGGCAAAGCGGAAGCAAATCAGTTCACCCTGGAAATCGGGATAGCACCTGAAAGAGGGGTGTTATCGCTTGATTGTCCGCTGCTTATTTGCATGCTTATATGGTTCCAGCGGCTCTTGGGCCAGATGTTTGTAGGTCGGCGATGTGGAGGCGGCAGTGGTCACTTGCCCCAATGGACATGCGCTGATTCGGAGCCAGCCAAGCTTCTGGTCTGCTGCCAAGCAATGCCAGCTGTGCCAAGAAACTTGGCAAAGAACTGTTTGGCGGATGAAGGGAGCGAAGTGTAAAGATCAGTCATGTGGATGGACACAATCCTGCAGCTAGGTGGTTATCCCAGCATGTTGTGCATCCATGATATGTGATCGCCTTGGCCCGGCGGGCATCCCTATCTATGCTGATGCTGACCTGTGAGGATTTCGGCAGCCACTCAGATTCCCTTCAAAAGCCAAACATGAAAAACACATTAAGGCATTTGCCAGGCCACACCAGTGGTATGCTTACAAATATATTATCTATCTATCTATCTGTTTGTCTGTTTGTCTGTCTGTCTGTCTGTTTGTCTGTCTGTCTATCTATCGATCTATCTATCTATCTATCTATCTATCTATCTATCTATTTTTTTTTGTAGTTATATTTATATATGTATACCGAAGGGCTTCTCATGGGGGAGGGTTCACGTAGAGAGTTGTTGGTGTTCTAATAAAAAGGTATGTTGCCTCAAAAAAACAGAGCCTAAGAATCCATGTTCGCTAGGTGAGAGTCTGGCTGTGTTTTGTTCTTAGAATACTCGAGTCCTTTTTCTTTGTAACGTTTTTGCACACGTGTAAAAAACTCAGAGCTTTCCCAAGAACAGCAAGAACAACAACTCGGACCCTATGTATCCATGTCGGCTGAGTTAGGGTTGGATTTGTTTTTGTGTGTTTTGAAAACTCGATGTGTTCTTGCGTTCTGGGAAGCGTAAAAAAAGGAAAACCAACAACGACAACTAGAGGTGTTTTACATTTCAGTTTTGGAATAGTGTAGACAATTCCAAAACTGAAGCGCAAAAAACCTCTAGTTGTCCACAAGAACAAGCAACACAAAACGCCATACCCTGACTCAGCCGACATGGATATATAGGGTTTGAAAGTTGTCGTTGGTGGTTTTCCTTTTTTACGCTTCCGAGAACGCAAGAACACATCGAATTTTCAAAACACACAAAAACAAATCCAACCCTAACTCAGCCGACATGGATACATAGGGTCCGAGTTGTTGCTCTTGTTGTTCTTGGGAAAGCTCTGAGTTTTTACACGTGTGCAAAAACGTTACAAAGAAAAAGGACTCGAGTATTCTAAGAACATAACACAACCAGACTCTCACCTAGCGAACATGGATTCTTAGGCTCTTTTTTTTTGAGGCAACATACCTTTTCATCTTGCGGGACCTCCCAATCGTGTCCTCGTGGGTCCTGCACCGGTCAGTGGTGTACAAAAGTTGGCGTATTGCCTCCCCAAGTTCTGTTTAAACTCCAGTTGAATTGGGAGAACTAAATGTAAATTTAAGCTTGCTCCATGTCTACTAAGTTGTAAATTTAAGAAATAGCTATTTCCAGTAGGACTCGGAATAAGCATTTCTTTATTGAGTCCACGTTAAATCCTATTCAGTTTCTACTTGAACTTTGGACCGTTGGTGGAGATGTGGATTGAGAAAAACGCTGCAACACGCTGTTTGTTCGATCTGTTCTGACCACAACAGTGCTGGGGGCTAGAAAAAAGGCACGATTGTGGGACCTCTTACTTTTTCCCTTACGAATTCTACTCAATGTGGTTGCCAAATTCTGCTCAATTTCAACCTAGATTGTTGTGGAAATTAACAAGGAACAACGTCCATCAGAAACTTAGTTTAATTTCTACTCTAACTAAGAATGATTATGCGTCAATGTCAAGATTACACAGGATGTCCTTTTCAATAGTGTTTTCTTTCAAAATCAGGTAGCATTTAGGCCCAACTTTTCAACCATTTTGGGACCGCTGGGTTGTTCCTGAAAGATGCATCAAGTGCTACTGATGTTTCAACTGAATTTAGATGGAATCCGTCATGAACCCGGCCACCTTGCAGTAAATGGCATTTTCTTCAATAGTGTTTGGTTGCAACGGACAAGCAACCTTGGACACACCATCCGAAGCAATAAAAGAGTTTGCCTACTTCTGACTCTCGACTTGCCTAAAGGCTAGCAATTCTCACATATCAGTATGTTTTTGGAACTCAAATTGTTGTATTTCACGGCTTTCCACCCCCTCACCCCCCCATCAGAGAGCTCTCTCTCTCTCTCTCTCTCTCTCTCTCTTATATGTCGCTTTGACAGCAGCGCTTCCTTTGGTTCTGCAAGAACAGATAACCTGGGTGCTTTGGATTGGGTCCCAATGTCAAGAAAGGCTGCAAGCTCCAAATCGCACTCGACAAGTCATGTTGTGATGCAGCAAAGCCTTTACCCCCTAGAGAGAGTCGGCAGACCGCTGCTTGATCGTGCTCTGAATGACATTCACATGGAATGTGCAAAACTAATACCCCCCCCCCTTCCCCCCCCCCAAATGCTTGACCCGAAATGGACTGAAAGCATGGGATTGATAGCAACAAGGGGGGGCCCTAGAGAGCGAGAGAGAGATGCCGAGGAGCCCATTCCTCAGCGGAAGGCGCCGGGTCTCGGGGAGCGGACGAGCGGAGTTCAGCGGCCGGCCGGAGCCTTTTGGGGACGTCCCTCACCCTGGCCCACGGCCAATTGGCCCATCTCCTAGGAAACATCAGCAGTCTGTGTTTGTGTGTGTACATGTGGTAGTCCAAGTGAGTGAGTGAGTGAGTGAGTGCGTGCGGGCGTGCGTGAGTGAGTGCGTGCGTGAGTGCGTGCGTGCGTGAGTGCGTGCGTGAGTGAGTGAGTCAGTGAGGGAGGGAGGGAGGGAGGGAGGGAGGAAGGGAGGGAGTGTGTGGTGTGCGCGCGTGTGTTTGTGTTGCCAAGCTGTTGCACGGGTCAAGCCCTTAGCGACGGGCTTGACTCAACGACTCCTTGCCCTTTGCCCATCATCTGAGTTGCTCATTTTCCCCACCTGTGACATTATTTCGATGTTGCCTCATGTGTGAAAGAATTCACTGTTGATCTTGATAAGATTTGTTATGTTGGTTAAGTCTGTTGGTCGTGTTGTGGTCATGTTATGTTTGGTGATGTTGGTATGTTGGCCTGTGCTGAACCTTCGAAGAGGGATCGGCTGTGCGTCTTGGTGAAGGTGTTGCCTACCATCCGCAGCCGCCTCTTTGTTTGCCGCGGTGTGATATAGCGGCTCCGGGAGGCCTCCAAATGGTTGGTTTCCCTGTGGAGGTCCTCCAAGCACAGATGATGTAGGGATCGGCGGCTTTGGTCTCAAGCTACTTTTGCCATTGCATAAGCATCATATGCAGGCATATGAATGGAAAGGGATGTTTGAGCAGGCACCGGGTACAATTACAAACTCATGTTTACATGTCGTGCTTGTATAATTATGGGTGGTCTTTATGTGCACATATATCTTTATGTGCACATATATATATATATATTTGTACGTACACATGTGTACCTGTATATATATATATATATGTATGTGCATGTACAAAAAGGAAGTTCTGGTCATGTGAGTGGGCAAGTGGAGCTGGCAGCTGCCGATTTGGTTCCCTGAGTTCAAACTTTGCTGAAGGCGCTGGCAGCATGGCATCCCTTATTCCGCATGCTTCAACAGTTCATCAAGACAAAGTCTCACCACGTAAAGTGCCCCTGGAGGATCAGCAGATGTTCTTGCAAGATGGTAACTATCACCCAAGTTGGGCCAGTGTTCACTAGGTGTGCACCGGGTGTTCTGCTTCACGCGGCGCAAGTTGGCGAGGTGAGGATGACCTGCTTCAGCTGCAAGTACTTTGTGTGCGGCACCTGCTATCTTCACAGTCACAATGCCAACGTGGGCCAGAATCCAGCAGATTGGCTGCATACAGCTGCTTTGATGGTTGCTCGGGATGCCGTGAGCAACGTCCAAAAAAAAGTGCATGTTTAGTGACCTGGTAAGTATGCCGCGTAAAATTTGAGCGTATGCTTGATCTCAGAAAAAATAGCAGTAGACGCAGAGATCCAGTTGCCACATGGGTGAGGCGTTGGCGGAGCGGAGGGAAGCGCAAATCATGGAGGCTCAACTCCTCCCTGGATCGTCTTATGGTTTTTTGCTTCGCGGCCAAGCTCAGCGAACCGGACATTGCTCGCTCCCATGCTGGAGTTTTGAATTGGGGGTCTCCCCTGCCCAGTCGAGCTTGGTTCTGCCGCCAAACTCCATCGCAACCTGACGTCTGCGATAGATGTCAACTCCTCTTGCCTGTGCTTTACCGGCTGATTTGCTAAGATGTGTGGGTCCGTGCTGCCAGAAACTGAAAATCGGAGGGGCTGGCCTTGCAGACAATAGTGCAGCCTGATCAAGCATTGCTACTAACGACGACAACCACAACCACAACGACAACCACAACGACAACCACAACGACAACGACAACGACAACAACAACAACAACAACAACAACAACAACAACAACAACAACAACAACAACAACAACAAGAACAAGAACAACAACAACCACAACAACGACGAAACAACAACGACGAAACAACAACGACGAAACAACAACGACGAAACAACAACGACGAAACAACAACGACGAAACAACAACGACGAAACAACAACGACGAAACAACAACGACGAAACAGCAACGACGACACAGCAACGACGACACAGCAACGACGACGACACAGCAACGACGACACACAGCAACGACGACACAGCAACGACGACACAGCAACGACGACAAAACAACAACAACAACAACAACAACAACAACAACAACAACAACAACAACAACAACAACAACAACAACAACAACAACAACAACAACAACAACAACAACAACAACAACAACAACAACAACAACAACAACAACAACAACAACAACAACAACAACAACAACAACAACAACAACAACAACAACAACAACAACAACAACAACAACAACACAACAACAACAACAACAACAACAACAACAACAACAACAACAACAACAACAACAACAACAACAACAACAACAACAACAACAACAACAACAACAACAACAACCAACAACAACAACAACAACCAACAACAACAACAACACAACAACAAACCAAACAACAACAACAACAACAACAACAACCAACAACAACAACAACAACAACAACAACAACAACAACAACAACAACAACAACAACAACAACAACCAACAACAACAACCAACCAACAACCCAACCCAACCACAACACAACCACAACCAACAACCAACCAACCCCAACCCCAACGACAACGACCACGACCACGACCACGACCACGACCACGACCACGACCACGACCACGACCACGACCACGACCACGACCACGACCACGACGACGACGACGACGACGACGACGACGACGACCACAACAACAACAACACCAGCAGCAGCTGCTGTTGTTGTTGTTGTTGTTGTTGTTGTTGTTGTAGCTGTTGCTCTTGTTGTTGCTGTTGCTGATGTTGGTGTTGTTGGTGTTGTTGTTGTAGTTGTAGTTGTAGTTGTAGTTGCAGTTGCAGTTGGAGTTGTAGTTGTAGTTACAGTTGGAGTTGTAGTTGTAGTTGTTGTTGTTGTGGTTGTTGCTGTTGTTGTGGTTGGTGTGTTTCTTGTTTGCTTTTTTGATTGTTTGTTTGTTTGTTTGTTTTGTTTTGATTCTTTTGGTTTTTGCTTGATTTTTGTTTGCTTGTTTGTTTGCTTGTTTGCGTGTTTGCTTGTTTGCTTGTTTGCTTGTTTGGTTGTTGGTTGTTGGTTGTTGGTTGTTGGTTGTTGTTTGTTGCTTGTTGGTTGTTGGTTGTTGGTTGTTGGTGGTTGACTGTTGGTTGTTGGTTGTTGGTTGTTGTTGTTGTGTGTGGGTTGTGTGTTGTGGGTTGTGGGTTGTGGGTTGTGGGTTGTGGGCTGTGTGTTGTGGGTTGTGGGTTGTGGGTTGTTGGTTGTGGGTTGTTGGTTGTTTGTTGTTGGTTGTTTTCTGTTGGTTGTTTGTTGCTGGTTGTTTGTTGTTGGTTGTTTGTTGGTGGTTGTTTGTTGTTGGTTGTTTGTTGGTGGTTGTTTGTGGGTTGTTGTTTGCGGGTTGTTGTTTGTGGGTTGTTGTTTGTGGGTTGTTGTTTGTGGGTTGTTGTTTGTGGGTTGTTGTTTGTGGGTTGTTGTTTGTGGGTTGTTGTTTATTGTTGTTGTTTGTGGGTTGTTGTTTGTTGGTTGTTGGTTGTGGGTTGTTGTTTGCGGGTTGCTGTTTGTGGGATGCTGTGTGGTGGTTGTTGGTTGTTGGTTGTTGGTTGTTGGTTGTTGGTGGTTGGTGGTTGGTGGTTGGTGGTTGGTGGTTGGTGGTTGGTGGTTGGTGGTTGGTTGTTGGTTGTTTGTTGTTGGTTGTTGGTTGGTTGTTGGTTGTTGGTTGTGGGTTGTGGGTTGTTTGTTGTTGGCTGTTGGCTGTTGGCTGTTGGCTGTTGGTTGTGGTGGTTGTGGGTGGTTGTGGGTGGTTGTGGGTGGTAGTGGGTGGTAGTGGTTGTTGTGGTTGTTGTGTGGTTGTTGTGTGGTTGTTGTGTGGTTGTTGTGTGGTTGTTGTGTGGTTGTTGTGAGGTTGTTGTGCGGTTGTTGTGAGGTTGTTGTGCGGTTGTTGTGTGGTTGTTGTGTGGTTGTTGTGTGGTTGTTGTGTGGTTGTTGTGTGGTTGTTGTGTGGTTGTTGTGTGTTGTTGTGTGGTGGTGGTGGTGGTTTGTGGTTGTTGTGTGGTTGTTGTGTGGTTGTTGTGTGGTTGT